TTGGTAAATTTTTTTAGCAAATCTTTTTTTTTTCTTTGTCCATCACAAAACCAAAAAAGTCTTCACCTTGTTCGTTTGTCTTCGTCGGTCGTTACTTTTTTGCAAGCTAATAAAAGCCAGAATAAATAATTGGATAAACTTAATTATTTTCTTCACACTTTACTGTTTTTTTTTTTCCTTTGAAATTAATTTATATTTTTTTCTGGAACACAGCTACAAGGTAAAGCTTCAATCTTTCCCACTCACATTTTCTGGGTCTTTGGATTTTTATTTATTTTTTTGCACTGTTTGGGTCTTCTCTGTAGGTTAGAGAGAGAGAGATCCCTACAAAGATCCAAAGCAAGAAAATTCCCAGTCAATGCTGCTTAAGATCTGACCTTTTTTCCCCTTTCAATGTCGCTCTGAAATCCCCCAAATTTCGCCCTTTCAGGTTTGGTTCTTCTCTTACTTCGGAACCCTAGTTTCTTTGACTCTTTCTTGGTCTGTTAATCAGACAATGCGACGGCTTTCTTTTAGTTTCTGTTGTCGGTAGAGATCTTTCTTGATTAGCTACAGAGTTTTTTCTTTGTTCACATGTAGTTTTCTTTCCAGCTTAATGTTTAGCTGGCGTTTGGTCTTAGAACTGAAAATCTGGCACCTGGCAATTTCTTGAGACTTAGGAGCAATGTTTTGTTGTATGAATCTGACTTTTTTTCTTAGTAGTTTCTGTTCAATTTCTTGTCTTTTTGCTTGTTCCTTGTTCAGTTTTGATTCTAAAGTGATAGAGATAGAGAGAGATTATATGCATTTTCCTATTGGGTTTGGGTAGATTTCTGTGTGCGAGTAACTCTAATCTTATATGGTTCCATTTTTGGTATATAAGTTCTGGGTTTTGAATACTTTGATTCAGTTCATGGTTATGATTATTTCTGAGTTCTGAATTATTTGGTTTTTTTGCAGGTGAATTAAGGAGAGGTAGGAAGATGGGATCTGGTTTAAATGATACATTATCTCAGAATTACAGTGGATTGGAGCTATGGGAGATAATAGTGATTGTTCTCTCTGCGATTTTCGTTGTAGTTTTAGCTATATCACTATGGCTTACTTTCAGAAGAAAAACCTCTAGATCTTCTTCTATTCAACTCCCTGTTAGCCGCCAGATTCCTCCTTGTGTTCCTGAAGAGATTAAAGAAATTAGAGTTGATGAGGTTTCGTCAAGCAATGGTGGCACTGGATATCCTTCAATTAGTGAGAAATTTGGGGATAAAGAACCTGAAAAGAGACTAATAGTGGAGTCTGAAAATGGCGATGCAAGTAGTAGCCGGTCAGGCTCGTTTAATCACTTGGAAAAAAAAGAAGGATCAAGTGTATCTTCTGCTAATCCTTTGACAGCTCCATCTCCATTGTCTGGTCTTCCAGAGTTTTCTCACCTCGGATGGGGACATTGGTTCACTCTTAGAGATCTTCAGATGGCTACTAATCAGTTCTCAAGAGATAATATCATCGGTGATGGCGGGTACGGAGTTGTTTACCGTGGTAACCTTGTGAATGGTACTCCTGTTGCTGTCAAAAAATTGCTCAATAATCTGTAAGTTTATAAGAATTGACGGTCAAGGTTCAAGATTTCTAGTTTCTTTACTTGAATCTCTTTTTTTTTTTTAATCGTGATGTTTTGTATTTCTAGAGGGCAAGCTGATAAAGACTTCAGAGTAGAAGTTGAAGCTATAGGTCATGTTCGCCACAAAAACTTGGTCCGTCTTCTCGGATATTGTATGGAAGGAACGCAGAGGTATGTGTGTTTTCTTGTAAATGATCTGTAGATTTTCTTCTGAATTATTTCACTAACATAGGATGCGGTAACATTTGGTTCTGAAATTTAGAATGTTGGTGTACGAGTATGTTAACAATGGAAATCTGGAGCAATGGCTCCGTGGAGACAATCAAAATCATGAGTATCTAACATGGGAGGCACGTTTAAAAATTCTTATCGGAACAGCCAAAGCGTAAGTCTTGTGACGGCTTTATGTTTTTTTTTCTTTCTTGAGTTTGTTTTCTGAGAGGCGATGGGCGGTGATGCAGGCTCGCGTACCTTCACGAGGCAATTGAGCCAAAAGTGGTGCACAGAGACATAAAGTCTAGCAACATTCTGATTGATGACAAATTCCATTCTAAAATTTCTGACTTTGGACTTGCGAAACTGCTTGGCGCTGATAAAAGTTTTATAACTACTAGAGTTATGGGTACCTTTGGGTAAGTTTTGGCCTCTCTCTTTTTGCTTTTCCGCATAATAGTAATTTGAAGACTGTTACTTTTGGGAAATAACTAACTTTTTGTTTCAGTTACGTAGCTCCAGAGTATGCGAATTCCGGGCTTCTGAATGAGAAAAGCGATGTATACAGCTACGGGGTTGTACTCTTGGAAGCCATAACTGGTAGATATCCCGTAGACTATGCTCGTCCACCACCTGAGGTAAATTCTGTAAAATATTTCATAGGAATCTTCAAACACACATAAACTTGCTCCCTCGTGTCTCACGAAAGTTCTCTTGACATCTTCTTCCATTCATTTTTGTAGGTACATTTAGTGGAATGGCTAAAGATGATGGTCCAACAAAGACGATCAGAAGAAGTGATTGACCCAAACCTTGAAACAAAACCATCTACTAGTGCGTTAAAAAGAACGCTCTTGACTGCTTTGAGATGTGTTGATCCAATGTCTGAGAAACGACCAAGGATGAGTCAAGTTGCCCGTATGCTTGAATCCGAGGAATACCCAATTCCTAGAGAGGTATAAATAAACAAGGCAACTTTGGAAACCACCTCTTATGTCTATAAACTCGATATGTATTATTTTGTTGAGTTTGGTGCTGAAAGCTTTTTACCGATACTTTTGAGAATCTCAGGATAGAAGAAGACGAAGGAGTCAGAACGGGACGACAAGAGATTCAGATCCTCCTAGGAACAGCACAGACACTGACAAGAGTGAGTATCAGGACCTGAAGCCTGAAAAGCTGGATAGCATTGGAAATAACTAAGGGTGTAGATTACCGTAAAATTCCGAGCTTTATGTGAAGCAAG